GAAGACCCAGAGGGATCGGGTGGAGAGGGAGGTGGGAGGGGGGACCGGGATGGGGAATACATGTAAATCCATGGCTAATTCATTTCAATGTGTGACAAAAACCACTGCAATGGTGTAAAGTAATTAGCCTCCAACTAATAAAAATAAATGAAAAAAAAAATTCTAGCTAGCCGACATTCAGATATCTTAATTACTGGAACATGCTCAGTCATGCCAGATTCTTTCTTCTTCACCTCTGGATTCTTAAGTAATATCAGAAGTTTCAGAGAGTCAATCTTCCTAAGTACCTCAGAACTCACATGGTCATCTCCCAGAAATATTTTTTAAAGGAATAAAAGGTACTGAGGAAGACTTCTCAACCCCACTCTTAACCTATTAAATTATGATTCAGTTATGTATTAAATATGCATTTAATTAACTTAAAAAACACTGTAGTGTTTTGCCAACATAATATAATGTTTACCATATTGCCACATCATAATCTGTGTGATATGCTTCAGACAGACATTATTATTTCTTGATGTATATTAATGTATTTACTACTCAGCAGTGCTAGAAGTGGTCTCTATTTTTAATCCTCATTTGAAGATGAGAAAACTAAGGCACAGAATGATTGAACATTTCCCAAGTCAGATGACTGCTAAGATTGACAGTTTGGCTCTAGCCTGCATGTATTTTACTGCTACTCTGTTACTGCTCTTTCTATATTGTATGTAAAATTTCCATGAAATAAGAAAAGTCCGCAGAGTGAGTCCATAACAGAAGACATTACCCTTAAGGCAGAAAGGAAAGAGAAAAATGTTACTGAATATTCATGATTATTTGAATCATTTTTAGAATACAACTCATGTCTCACTTTAATATCTGTCATTGTACCTATTTTACTTGTAAACAATTGAAAAAAAATTTTTTTTCTCATTATAAAATCCTCACCTGTTCTGACTGAGGATTTTTTTCAATCTTTGGTGGAAATCTGGATGAATAAAGCAGTGGACTCAAATTAGACAACCAGCTTAGGTGGGAGCAATTTAAATAAAATGCTGTCTGGTATTAGCCATGGAGCAATTTCACTTTTGTATTAGTGTATTTAATTTAAGGTTGTCATGACATTAACAAAAAAATCTAACATATCTATAGTGGTGAAAACTATATCGGTGAGAAACCAAAGCCAGTGCAAAAACAAAAAACAAAAATTCAAGTCTACTAAACATGTAAGTTATCTCTTCAAAGAATATCTGTATTCTGTTTTTTTCATGAAATTGTAAGTTTGATAACTTTTAGGAGGAATGCAGTAGTCAACCACTCGGCATAGCATTAGTATGCCAAGACATCAAAGGGAAATGGATAAACATCAGGCTTTCTTTCCAACAGGAAAAATATTGTGCACCACGATTCATAGTTCAAACATTTTCAAAAATAATATTTAATATTTAAAGAAAAATGCTAGTCAAGGTACTGTAGATTTTCTCATGCATTATTTACCTTTAGGAAACATAAAAAACTAGAATATAAAAAATATAAAATGGAAAAATTCTTCCTACCTTACAAAAGATTTTGTTTTGGTAATGTTCTAGTAAATGATAAGATGCTGAAATATATAGAATAATGTGTAAAAATAAGGCTTAATTATAATCTAAACAAGTAAAGCTTCATGTTATGCTATAGGGATGGAAAACCCTACCCTTCTTTTCTTCTAGGTTCTTTGTTCTGATAATTAAGCTGACATAAAACAGACTAATAGGAGAAAAACAAATTCAATTTAATAAGTGTGGAATCCAAAAACAATTGGGTAACCCCTAGAGTAACCAACGCAGGCAGTTTTTATCCTTTCAGACAAGACGGAATATTTTAGGGTGGTGTATTCTGCCTTCCTTCAATGCTGTATGCCTCAGCATAGTTGAAATATAGTCTTGGCATTTAAACTCATCATGAGTTCAGAGTCTAATTTAGGAAATCTAGCCTTACATTAGAAAGTGGCAAATTATGTCCATTTCTCAGGTAATTTAAAGTAACAATCACTTTCTCTTCCACACTTCAGGAAAATATTAAATAGCAAATAAATCCTGTTATGTATTGGGTCAATAATAGAATTCAATTAAATCTAGGGCTCAGAATAAATTCTAGAAGGAACATTGTTTCTATATTATTCACAATGACTAAAGAAAACAATTTTTATGTTGAAACACCTTTGTACTGCAGGCGTGCAAAACTATGTTTACTAAACTGAACTGGCAATAGCCTTAAAATAGAATCAAAAGCTATTGCTAAAAATAATAGCATAAAGCAAGGATTTAAGTAATTTATGTTTCTAAACATCTCATTTATAAAACTTACCCATCATACTCTAGATCTACCACCTCTTCTGCTTTTCTTGAGATTCTAATCTTTTTAACTCATCATTTTGTTTCCTACGTCACATGCAGTCAGTTCAGTTCAGTTGCTCAGTCGTGTCCAACACCTTGTGACCCCATGAATCGCAGCAGGCCAGGCCTCCCTGTCCATCACATTAACACTTCACTAGCTCTGGAATTTAACCTGGAATCCAACTTTTGCTTTTCCCTCCCAAACTCATGAAGGCTGTATGATGGATGCTTGATAAAACTAAATCTCTCTCCCTCTCCCTCTCTCTCTCAAAGTAAACATGTATAACGACTGTTTCTGCATTCATCATCAAACACTTTTCTCTGTGCTCCGAGAGCAGGGACTGACATGTTAGGACATCCTATGAAAATATGCTGTGAATGTTTTATGAAGGTGCTTTTACTTAATCAGTAAGTAGGGAAGGAGGAGAATGACCTAACCTACCACATTTTCTTTATGAGAACATCTTCCTGGTGATCCATAGCTTCATGAAGTAGTCATGGAGTTTCAAATTTGCTCTCGAATCCTGGGTCAAGAAATGCCATCAACACATATCCTTTCTTGTCACACATTTCAATGAACCTGTAGTTTGTCAAGCCAATATCATTACTTTGAATTTGATTTGTGACTATTCCACAAAAAAGGTATTTATGCCCATATATAATTAAGAAGGAGAAGGGGACGGCAGAGAATGAGATCATTGGATGGCATCACCAACTCAATGGTCATGAGTTTGAGAAGCTCTGGGAGTTGGTGATGGGCAGAGAAGCCTGATGTGCTGCAGTCCATGTGGCCACAAAGAGTCAGACACGACTGAGAGACTGAACTGATAACAAACGAAAGCACCTGACTTTGATTTACGTTACTGCATTTGACTTCCTGAGTGACCGCTTAAAATGGTCCATGTGGACCTTATGTATATGCCTTCCTCCCTCCTTCCCTGTCTTCCTTTCCTCCCTCCCATCCTACCACAATTCTTTCCTTCCTTTCTTCCATCCCTCCTTTCTTTTCAAATATTTTCTTTCAGATGATGATAATGAGAAAAACGACTGGAGAAACTACTTAGCAACAATCCCAAAACTTTGTTATAAAAACAAAAACAAATACTTCCCTGGCAAACATCCATTTTTCTCTTGAGAACCTTGGGGAAACTAGTTAAAATGGTTGCTAGGCAGCCTGTTCTTCACCTCATAATGGGTTAGAACTTTTTTCATGTTACTGAATTACAATGACACGATTCTAAAATAACTAGCCTTTTATTTTATAGTTCCAATTTAAAATTTTAGGCATACATATATATAGTAATTAAGTAGAAATACATTGTATGAAGTACACAGGTTTCCAGTGTGCTATGAACTTTTTAGTAATTTGAGTTTTTTCCCCAAGTCTTCATGTTTTACTGCCTTGAGTTTACTTGCAAAAAATACACACTAATTTGCTCACAGAATTGTAGTCTATTTTATAACTTTAAAAAAAGAGCTATAGTTTCCACTACTTCCCTTGAGAAACTGTGAGTGAATCTATCAGCAATAAGATTGGCAAAAATTATATAAGAGCTAGAAATATTAACAAAATGTATATTAAGAACTAGAAAGATAGATAAATGATACATTACACATTCACACATATATACACACAATTATGTGTGTTAGCACATATACTTTTTCTCACAAAAATGCATGTACATATATGACTTCTACTTATTTGTAGTTATAACTCCATTAGTCTTAATAAACATATCTTTCTTCTCTTTAGACATTTTTCTTTTTCATTTTGGGAAAATCTAAAGTACTGTTACAGTTTCTTCATTTATGGATATATTATGTTATTTATTTTTATTTATTTTCTCTTGAATGCTTATCTTAAGATATTCAGATGAAGAAAATAATCCACATAATATCTCCATAAGAAATTAGGTGCCAAGGGACTGATACAGATCGATATCTAAGTCATGCTACTGAAGGAATATCATTATTATTATTATTATTATTATTATTATTATTTACCCAAGTTCTTCTACATCCTTGCCATTGGTCAACTTTCCTTTAGCAACTCATTGTAAAATATATCTGTAACACTCTGTCATCCATTAGTCCTTTAGTTCTTACTGTTCCAAAGCTTGAACATTGATTCAATCCTATATACCCAGACCAGAATTTCTTAACCCACAATGAATGTCCAATCTTTTCCTGCCCCAACTTTTTTTTTTTTCTTTTTCAGTTTTGCTTTCTGTTTTATTTTCTAAGAACAGAGAGCATGTATTTCATTAGATTTTCAAGAGACTCCAAAAGTACTGAAAAAGGTCAACCTTGATAACAGTTAAGATATTTGTAACAATTCTAAGTGACTGTAGGGACACCTCCACTCTCTCCTGGTACCTTTTTCTCACATTTGGATAAAGAAGTTGTGATCTGCCCACTTCTATAAAGGGAAGTTCTGACAAGGGTACTCTTAACTTAAAGCATCTTATTTAGAAAAAGTTAATAATATGAACTATAATCTCAAAAATCAGATTAGCTCTCCTAATATAATAGATCTGATTATTTCTTTATAATTTATTTTATTTTTTATTTTAATTGAGCTTAATCTCTCTGTTAGTAACAGATCTTGAAAATTCAGAATCCTTAGGTTAAAACTGCATAATACAAAGGGTGGCCAAGAGATATGGGTGATCTCAGCAGTACTAACGTCTTACATGACACCAGTCAAATCATTTAATCTTGCTGTTCCTCAGTTATCTTGCCTTCAAATGGGGAAGCTAGGAGTTCTGCTCTTCCTTTACAAGGTTACCACAAGGGTAAAATAGAATAACTGAAAAACTAAAATGTGTATATGCAATTCATACATGTATGTATATTTATGAAACTTTCAAGCCCTGAATGGGAATAAGGGAAATATATACTGTATATTTAAATGTACCAAATATCCCCTGGATATCTGTTGGCCCATGTTCTGGTATTGCATATTCATACACAATATAATATTTCCATTTAAATTGAAGGAAGAAAATATGAGCCATTCCAATACAGGATTTCCCCTTCTTTTCCTTAAGTGTTTGCTTTGGTAAATGAGGCGTTGCATATTAGGGTAGCAAAAAAGTATTTGTTTTGTAGTCAGATAAATTTAAGCTTCTATCTCTATACTGACATTTAGTAGATCTGAGTCCCTGAGATGTTAGTAGGCCCTTTATGAATGACAATATTCTTTATATTCTTGAAGAAGTCAACTATAGATTCATTCATTAATACTAACAGTTTTTCTTTATGAATTCCTTGCTCTACTATTCTTATCCTATTTCCAACTACTTATAGTCTAATTATAGTATTGACAGTCAATTCCTAGGCAGGTTGATAAGAAGTCCAGAGTCCCAAGGAGGAGAAAGAGGTCTGGGGTTCTTAAGGAGGAGATAGGAGTCTGGGGTTCTTAAGGAGGAGATAGGGTTCTGGAATTCTCAAGGAGGAGGAAAGGACAAGCATCTTTTTTTTTTTTCCTACATTCCTTAGTCTTAGTCACATAAAACACTTTTTTCTATAAGCCTGGAACTGATGATTACACAACAAACAACTCAGTTTAAACTCTGTTCAGTTCAGTTCAGCTGCTCAGTTGTGACTGACTCTTTGCGATCCCATGCAGTTCAGCTGCTCAGTTGTGACTGACTCTTTGCGATCCCATGGACTGTAGTACACAGGCCTCCCTGTCCATCACCAACTCCAGGAGTTTACTCAAACTCATGTCCATGGAATCGGTGATGCCATCCAACCATCTCATCCTCTGTCGTCCCCTTCTCCTCCCACCTTCGATTTTGACAGTATTAGGTCTTTTCAAATGAGTCAGCTCTTCACATCAGGTGGCCAAAGTATTGGAGTTTCAGCTTCAACATCAGTCTTTCCAATGAACACTCAGGACTGATCTCCTTTAGGATGGACTAGTTGAATCTCCTTGCAGTCCATGGGACTGTCAAGTGTCTTCTCCAACACCACAGTCCAAAAGCATCAATTCTTTGGTGCTCAGCTTTCTTCACAGTCCAACTCTCATATCCATACATGACCACTGGAAAAACCATGGCCTTGACTAGAAAGACCTTTATTGGCAAACTAAGGCTTATATAACAACAATGTATCCTGCGTGAGGACAGTTTCTCCTTCCTGAAAATCTTCTGGCTACTCCTGTTATCTTAAAATGTAAATTATGGGAGTGGCTCTAGTAAGATCTTTACAACCTCCAGATATTCCTTTGATTTATTGTAATAACTAATTAAAAAAGTATATAACTCCCTTGCTAACACTAGTGAAGGGGGCACTCTCCATCCCCCTTCTGAGATCTATGTCAGAAGCTTTCTCTGTCCCTTTTCTTATTTAATAAAAGTCTGCTACACAAAAGTTTTTGAGTGACCAAGCCTGGTCCCTGGTCTTGAAGCTAAATCTTCTTCTTTGGAGATCATGAATCTGACATCATTCACTCTAAGCTATCAGTATTGTCTTGAACTTACTGATGTTTATCACTTCTTCTAGAATCATCTATGAATGCTCTCAGAATGCTGGTAATTTATCCCTCTAGCAGAGAGAAACCCTCTAGGATCTGCTGAAACTTCTAAATCTGATTTTTTTTTTCCTTACCTCTATTTAGAAGTACCTTAATGTTTAAATCAGCCTTCTAAAAGTGAAGCAAATGTGCTAAGTTGCTTCAGTCATGTCTGACTCTTTGCGACCCTATGGGCTGTAGCCTGCCCGCCTCCTCCGTCCATGGAGTGGGTTGGTTGTCGTGCCCTCCTCCAAGGGATCTTCCTCACCCAGGGGTGGAACTCCTGTCTGTCTCTTGTCTCCTGCATTGGTAGGTGGGGTCTTTATCACTAGCACCACCTGGGAAGTAGAAGTACCCAGTAAAGAATGTCTCTAAACCTCAAAGTGAAGAAAAGCTATATCATCACAATTTTAGTCTTCCTAACTTGTGGTACTTTCCATTTTTCTCTTCCTGTTTAGCTGATAACTATTCTTTGGGGGAAAATGTATCTATTTAAACACTTGAAAAGTTAAATTTTAAAATTCATTTGGTTTATAATAATTCCTTTAATGCTTTTGAAATTGAATCTATTTTTTAGAATATTCAGAAATAACAGTCATGTAAATGATTACTATTTATCCTTTAAAATTTTCTATGAAGCCAAGAAAATTTTTTTCATAAGATTTTGGCTAAATTATCCTGGGAGTAAACATAAAGCACAAAGACTTGGTAAATGCAAAAGGAATTAACAGGACAACTGACTTCCTCCCTTCAGGTTTTTCTTCCTTCCTTCCTGAATTATTTAAAAGTAGTGTCATAACATCAGCAATTTACTTTCAATGGAATCAGGAGGAAGAGTACAAGAGAAAAATAAACTAATAAGGCAAATGTTAACTATTAGTGAATGAGTATGTACATTTCTCTACCACTCTTTTAGATTTTCTTTAGGCATGAAACTTATTGAGACATAACTTGAAACTGTGTATGTATAGCTGGCTCTCTAAATACATCAGCTGCTCCTGCTGCTGCTAAGTCACTTTAGTCGTGTCTGACTGTGTGCGACCCCATAGACAGCAGCC